TGAGCAATCCCAGCACAAGCCGAAGTTGCCGCAGTATGGTGTCTGCTGTAGCATTGCTAGCATCACCACCTGCCGATGGGTGTCAACATGTGTGTGTGTGTGTGTGTGTGTGCGCGCACGCACGTGTGTGTCTAGAGTTAAAATAAAAGCTGTCGATCGCGTACTGCAGAACGAAAGTTCATTTTGAAGTTTGAGGGTGTTTGCACATCAGTCTACATTGTAGTAGTCCCCGTTTTGGTCCCCGGGGCCGGGGGTACGCTAGAAGCCAAAGGACAATGTAGTCTTGCTGGAAGTCAACCTGAGGACGGCGCAGATTTCCTTCCAGGCCCATGTGTCCTTGACATGTGCAGTCATCATTGTGTCCAGGATGAACTGCACAACCGTTGACCATAGTTTCGTCAGTCACACATGCGCAGACTATTCCTCTCTCCCTCTACTCCATGCGAGGCTCTTCAGTCGACATGTAGAGAACTACATTCCGGAGGCTCGTGTTGGTATGCAGGGCTCAAGCATGCACACTACAGGTCACCTGGAGTCATGGGTTTGCAGGCGCGTACTCGGCGATGGGCACGGGGGGCACGTGCACCCCCCCAAAAATTTTCAATCTGGGTAATTGCAATTGTAATGTATGCAAATATGCTCTAAAATTCAAGAAAGGTTGCAAACAAATTGCAGAAAATTGCCGGGGGCTCCCCTCGGCTCCCGTGCACCCCCCTAGTTGGGGGGCCGAGCACGCCCCTGGGTTTGTGCAGCTCCCAGGGTGGGATTTGGTGATCTGGTCGGCATAAACTAAACCGTTGGCAACTGAAATCCGACCACCTGAGCGGTGTGTTCACTTGTAGCTGAGCCTCTATTTCGTAGTGTTACACTCCCATGCTGGGTCTTTGCGATGTGAGCGCACCGCTCCGGGGGTCGGATTTCAGTTGCCAGCACTGTGTATGTACATACAACAATTATTTGGAGGATACAATGTAGTCTACATGATTGTAGTAAAAATAGCCTGCGGTACTTAGCGTGGATCCTACCCGCGGCTTGTCACCCTTGATGTCATGAACTGATGAAAGATCGATGCATGAACATGGTAGATCTACATGTATTATTATAATCCTTCAGATGTGGTGTGGGGTCTGTAGTCTGTGGAGACCAGGGAGTCGTACCCAAACGAGGACTCCCCTGGTGCCAGTGGTGGAGAGGAAAGAGGAATCGCCCGTCCTGCACAAAATATGCACATGCATGAGCATGCACGCAACACTGCAACCATCACTGCGCTGCACTGTCATACATGGTCATAATCATATCAGGTAACCGGGCCTTTGGCCTTGGCCTTACAAGGCTTACGCACATCGTAATCTCTTTTTTTTTCTTCATTTATTGCAAGCCAGGATCGATCAGGAGCCCCGAAAAGTTACTTCCTGCCTTTGCTTGCAGTTGCACAGGCCAGGGGAGATCTACTAGGGTTCAAAGGTCACTGTCGCAAATGGAACTGACCTGATCTGCAACAATCGTGTCCAGACTCCACACTGGACCATAGTGAAGACGTAGATCTACGCGGGGCAGGGCGCTTGGAGTTGAACACCGGCCGATTAGTTTGCTATGCTAGCGCGATGTACTGTGTAGCACGCGCTATCAGTAGCGAGTCGCCATTGCTAGTTTTGGCAAGGTTTGACTTTTACGGAAGGGGGCAACAAAAGACTCCTCACACTGTGTTTTCAAGTACGACGAGTTTGTTTAGCAGGAAGATCTAAGCTTGTTGAAGTACCGTATTAGTTGTTGTGATGTCTACGGCCAGCTAGCATAGTTTTCCACACAAGAAACTTATTCAGAACTAATAATTATTGTTATTGCTTGAGGCGAAGTGCTACTTCTAGTTGCAGAATTCTCGATGCGGGGTAGGACTATCTCGCCTGCTTCTTTTCGCCATAGCGTTGTGAAACACCTTCGGAATATTAGTACGCTAAGGCTGACTCTCATTGTATTTTTCAGTCGGTGACAATAGGATGCTCAGGCTTGTTCTGTTTGACTGCGTTTTGACCAGTTGCAACGAAATATTCGTAGTCAGTAGTTCCTAGTAAGGTCACACACCAATAGAATAATTATCTTGGCAAGGAAGAACCGTGCAGAAGCGCCATCTGTGGTGACACACGCAGACAGCGGCTTCGTAGCTTCCTGTTCTCCGTCATAATGGTGAGTGGTTCTGGCTGCAGTTGGTCGGCGGTGAGTGCGTGTCCGCGTGTGGCGTGTGTGCGTGTGTGTGTGTGGGGGGGGGGGGGCGTGCGGGTATGTGCGTGTGTACGTGCGTGTGCGTGCGTGTGGTGGTGCGCGTGTATTAACATGGTGTATGTGTGTGTGTGTATGTGTGTGTGTGTGTGTGTGTGTGTGTGTGTGTGTGTGTGTGTGTGTGTGTGTGTGTGTGTGTGTGTGTGTGTGTGTACGTAGGGTTGTGGGACTCTGTGTTACGCTGTGGCATGGCAGCTTAGTGAAGTACCTAGTGTTGTTTTGCCTCACCTTTCCTTTGTCCTCATTCCTCACGGTGGTCGGTCTCAGCCTGATTTATGAGACATCCACCCAGTGCCGATTTTGGCGTGCATGCACCCACACTCACAGAAGCACGCACACATGCACGCTCTTGCACGTGCACAGGTATACTTACTCCATGACGCTAGCAATCAGGGGCGGATCCAGAGATCTCTACAGGGGGGTTCCAGTTGAACCAAAATTGAACATCCAAAATATTATGGAATCAGATTGTTTTGAAGTTGTGCGGTTGACACTTGTATTAGAGAGGTTTCGTTTCACGTTGTTCTGCACTACACCGTGAAATTTCACGTCGTGGCAAATTTTGGCGTTGAAACTCCCATTCATGACGTGAGATGAGGTCAACTCCCGTTCGACGTGAACGCGAGTTTTTGCAAATTTAGCCTTGCTATCAGGTTGGGATTATTGACTCGATTTTGTCGATTTTTGCCTAAACTAGCTATAAAAAATATTTGTGCGACTTTGGCCTCACCAAAAAGCACTTTTTTCACTTTTTGAAGTTTTTGCTCCCAGTTTTCGCTCCTGTCGTCAGCAAAACGACGTGCTTCACAAGCAACGTGAAGCGAAAGCTCTTTCTGAGCTCGCGTCAACGCAAAAAAATGACGTTCACGTAAGAGCACAAATCACGCGGGTCGAAACCTCTCTAATAACGACAATCCGATTGTGTTAGTGGGAATCGCATGCTTTTAAAACACACTACGGACATACCGGTATATTTTTCCATCATCGACCACACCCCAACTGCGCTCTCCAGCCGGCCTCGACACGTTGCCACAGCACACCAACATCGCTGGAGAGCGCAGTTGTGGTGTGGTGGACGATGGAAAACCTGGTTGTACAGGGCCAGATGCCGCTGCTTACCCTACATTGTATAATTATTATTTAGTACGGACACATAATCATATTCATGTATGCAATCGACTGCCACACAGGTTCAGTGAGGGCTTGAAGACCCTTTCAACTTCTTGTAAAGATCGAATTTACAAGCCATGGGTACATTGAGAGCCAGGAATGCCGAAATGATATAACTAACTACTAAGTTAATTTCCCTGTCCATTTGTACTTTCGGAAATTTTTGGCATTTTTACGATGCGAAATGCTCTATAGTCACAGGACAAGAACATCGTCTTCACTTCAGTGACAGAAACAACAACAGCGAAACAGTGTCGACAACTGTACAATCCTTCCAATGTCATCTAAAACACATCGCTGGCGCAGCACTTCGTTCCTGCGGAGGAACAACTAGTCACTACTGCATGCTGCAGCAGGTAGAGAGACTTTGCTTGGATGTCGGAGCCCTCATCTTCTGAGGAGCTTGAACTCCGCTACGTGTACGATTCGAAGTTCGTTGAAGAGTGTCATCACTCGGAACATCCTTTCTCTTCTGCAAAAACTTGTCCAAGGAATACTGACCACACCACACCCGTCCTGAGCAGCAGTGAATGACAGCGCCGATGGAGGTAAGTTAGTTTGGATCGTTTCGAGAGATCAAAAAGGAAACAACCACCCAATGATTATGATTGTTGTCTACAGTGTCCGTTTGTAAATTACGGACGTGAACACCACTACAGACTACTACGGGTATACGTGCAGTATGGATCTACCGAACGCGCATGCAGTGCACTGTACTCCTTGACTCAGTGACTGCACTGACTGTGATCGGACGGACGCCCTTTTGTGCACACATGATATTTTTCGATATTTCTCAGCAGCACACTTTGCAAAATTTAGGGGGTTCCATGGAACCCCCGGAACCCCCCCCCCCCCTGGATCCACCACTGAATTGCGTAATGCAGTTATGACGAGTGTGTGTAAAGTTGACAGACATACTGTGTCTCCTTTCAGTTTGGTGCGCCAAAGTCTATAGAGCTCCAGGATGAGCAGACTTTAGTCGTCGCTGCTTGAACTGTCTTTGGTGGTCTCTGCAGTAGCATCATTATTAGTATTCCCAATCCATTTTTTTTAACTTAAAGGGGAAGTTAAGGCAAAAATTAAAATTCCACCAGTTGTAGTCTTCGGGGTGCTGAGTCGAATGGTCTTGGTCCGAGAAAGCTGAGACGCTCCCTTCCTACTTGAATCCCAATCGAACTCGCGCACTTCCACCGAAACTGGGTGACTGCGCCCTACTAGATGGGGATTTGTATGCAAAATGTCACTAAAAGCGCCGTTTCGTTCTTATAAAAGCACGGATGACCGCGATTGGCCCATATGTTGCAGTCTTTTGGACGCTGAGTCGACTGGTTTTGGTCCGAAAAGGCTGCGATGCAGCGTTCCTCCTTTATTCCCAATCGAACATGGTTGAACAAGTGGTCACGTGCTCCTGCGTACACCAGTCAGCTGGTCACCGTGCCTGCAGGGTACAACTTACTAGCCTGTTTGACCTTTTTTGGGTGCACTCCTGTCACTCGAGTTGAACTCGAGTTGAACCTTGGTGTGAAAGTTGTGTGTGTGTGTGTGTGTGTGTGTGTGTGCGTGCGTGTGCGTGTGCGCGTGCGCGTGTGCGTGTGTGTGTGTGGGGGGGGGGGTGTACGCTTGTGTACTTGATGTCCAGGTGCGTATTGGTGTTCGAGTGCCTCTGGGCATTTTATGGTTGCTCACTCTCTCCACCGGGCTGACTGAAGCTACAGGTAAGGGATTACTGTTGTGCATGTCATTTCGTGCACTCGTCCAGGGGCGTCGGAAGGCAGTTCTGGGTGCTACGGTCAACAATCTACTGGAATGTCCTTGGGAGCACCCTGAAATGTTTGTAGCCAAACAGACAAAGTACAAAGTGCTTGCATTACTGTAATTCACAGGGTGCCAGGTATGAAGAGTAAGAGGACCCTCTTAATTTCGGACACGGCAAAAGGACCAGGCACATCTAGGCCACACATGGAGGCGTCCTGCAGAAATGGGTGTGGCAAAAGATGCCCAGCCGGCTGACAGCTTCTACCTACTCTTTCTATGCATAGCAAAATAGTATCATTATGGCCGGGGCAATGTATGCAGCCTGAAGCTGGTGATCAGAGCGGTGGATGGATTCCAGGGCATGATAGGTGATGCTTTGCAGTGTTGTGTCCTGGATGACTCTGAGGTGCGCTGCAGCTCGACTATTTCAGTTTATGCGAAGCATTACCTGCAGTCAACGGTCACGTAACACCCTCTCAGCTTGCTCTCTTGCACATGGGTCCACATTGAGCGTGTTACTTACCAGCCCCACAGCTGATAAGCTAGGCCTATTTTTAAATACAATCATGCAAATAAGCGTCGAGGCGAAAATGTTTTTAGAATTGCGGTTAGCAGACCAAGCTGAACCGGCATTCACAAAGGCTTTTATAATAGCTACCTATTCTTGTTTTGTGTTGTTATCAGCTGGCCCTGTTCTTTCATCACCAAATGGAATCAATGGACTGGTTATTAGTGAAGCTGATGACACAATGCAGGCAGTTCTGCGCGTGTGTATCAACGCCACCATCAAACCAGCACCTCAGCAAGCCAATATTGTATGGAGTCGGGAACAGGGAAATCTGCTTGATATACCAAATTGGGATCATACATCATTGAGTGAGGTCGACGGCTGTTTCTGGTCCAGTCTGACCATAATGTTCCAACTTGTTGAACCGGCTATTGGAAATTACACCATTACCGTTACTACAACTGCTGGTTCTTCAAAACTGACAATTCCACTTCGTTTCACCAGTAAGTAGAACTACTGTAAAACCTGTGTTTACCAATTGCCTTGATCAACTGGAATCCTATCTAGACTGGACAAACTCTTAGGAAAGTTCACACTACGTTTCTCACTTCATGACCTAGATCAATGGCCAAAGTTTTGTACATTTTCGTTTTGCACACCCTCCGCCGCATTGACTTGGTTAGAAGCAAAGATGATGTGGTCCCGATCAATTTGACATGCATGTTGTGGGTCACACATGTCTCCCTCTATGAAGAGGAATACTGCAGTAGCAGGATAGATTGTGCTGCACCAGTAGTATTGGGTAAAGGCAGGTTTTTGCTGTACTCCTGGAGGTACTATCCCAGGTGATGCAAACAATGATTATACAAAGACCGGGTACTGTGAACTTCAGTTATGCGAACAGTGATTATACAAAGACCGGGTACTGAACTTCAGTTATGCGAACAATGATTATGAACACCGGGTACTGTGAACCTCGGTTATGTGAACAGCGATTATACAAACACCGGACATACAAACCTCGGTTATGTGAACAGCGATTTCTGTATAGCAGGAAATTTTCGGACGGAATTTATTTTCGTAAGATTTCGTACATGGCCTTTTTTGTACTAAAATTAATTCTGTACTAAAATTTGTTCATGTGATATGATGTACACTATACATGTGTGCTGCTTGCGAACAAGTGCATTTAGCATGCAGCATTGTACGAAAATAAAATCCGTCCGAAAGGTCGAAATTCGGCCTAGTCCGAAAATATTTCCGTCGAAAATTTCCTGCTATACAGTATATGGACACTGGGTATGTGAACCTCGGTTATGTGAACAGCGATTATACACACCACCGGGTATGTGAAGACATTTTGCTTTTGCATGTACAGTAGGTATCGGTTATAGCGTGGGTGTTTGAAAAACGACTTTCTATTCTTATGTCCGATATTTCTTACACACGATAAATCAAGTGTGGCATATCACATGCATGTGCGCAGGGGCAGGAAGATCATCGTACATGCAACGCAGTACTTCTGTGCATGTGGCTGGTCATAGTCCCATAGGCTTACCATGTGGCTATGCAAAATGAGTTACATGACCACAACAGTTGAATCTGCAGCACTACGACGCAACGAGAGTCAGATCAGAACGGAATTGGACATATGTTACTACTACAGGTGATACACTTTGTACTAATCTGGCATGTTTCGCTACACAAAGTCCATTCTTAGGACGGATATATTCTACTATGGGATAAAATAATAATTGCTTGTAAGAATAAATGTGCACTTGAAATCCATGTTATGATTATGAAAACATGAGAGTTCATTCTTGTAGGCAGTATATTCTTTTACACGACCACGCTATAACCGATACGCACTGTATCTGTTTTTGTGTTTGTATTCGAATACCTCAATCGTCTGAACGCATAGATTGAATTTTGATATCATGCTGTACATTTTTGTCCTTTTATCAGGTGGAGTTGTGAATTTTGTTTTACATTTTGAGTGTCTGTTGCAGGTGCGTGCATTTCATTCTCATTTCTGTGTGCGTGTGTCCATGTGTGCGTGTGTGCATGGGTGTGTGTGTATGTTTGTGTATAATTATATGTATGTGTTTGTGTGTGTGTGTGTGTGTGTGTGTGTGTGTGTGTGTTTGTGTTCAACATTTGATGTGTCTAGTTCCTTTGTGTGAAATACCAACAATCCACCATGGTCACGCATATGTAGCAGGTGTTTATGGAGACGTAAATGAAAAGACTTCTTCAGACTATGGGGTAGAATGTCCTACTGGTTTTAAACTGTCCACTTTGTCCCATAGTAAATGTGAAAGATCACCTGATGGAAAAGCTGTTTACAAGAATATACCAGAGTGTCAGGGTCAGTATACCTACTTTAAAATCATGAATTGTTCACTTTGCTTCTGTGCACATGCATGTATGTTTATGTGTGTGTGTGTGTGTGTGTGTGTGTGTGTGTGTGTGTGTATGTGTGTTTACATGTGTGTTTGTGTAACGATAAGTGTTACTATTCCAATGGTCAAGTTGTAGCCAGTTGGGCTAGAGATGGCCAAGTCCAGTCACGTTGTAGGCGTGTGTTTCTGCAGGTGGGTGGCAAAGTAGACGTGTTGTGTGAGGCCACAAGTCGCGTAACAGCCAATACAGGTCCTCACCTAAGGCACGTATCGCTGGAGTGCCGCAAGCAATTCTTGGCGTTGAACTTGATCAGGAGAAGTATCTCATCCTGGGGTTTTTCAACTACCTCTTTGGCCCTCTCCAGTTCCACCAGGAACTCTGCTGGTTCGGACCGTGAAGGGATGGTAGATGTTCCTTAGCTTTTTGTGAACTTACCTGAACTCATGCATGTCACATGATCGATGTTGAAGAGATCATTGTATTGTTTTAATCCTATATTTCCAATTTGTTGATTTCCGAGCGGCAGAGAGTGCTCAATGTCAGAGACAGAGCTTAGTACATAGCAGACTCAGCGGAGGACTTTCATGCCACTTGTTCTCAGTTGTCTGATGATTGCCTAGCGGCATGAAACTCAGAGTTACAACTAACCTGAACGTCCTCCACTGAGTCTGCTATGTCCTATGTTTACTATGTTTCTATCTTACTATTGGTTGTTGGTGTCATTGCTTCGTTTTTGTTGTTGTTATCCAGCTGGTCCCGTTCTGACATCTCCTATTGGAAGCAGTGGACTGGTTGTGAGTGAGGATGATGGCACACAGTCAGCAGTTCTGTCCGTGTGCATCAACTCTACCATCAAGCCAGCACCGTCATCAGCCAACTCTGTAGTTTGGAGTACAGAGGCCAGTGGAGGGATGTCTGTGTTCAGCCGTGTGCAGACCTCACTGAGTAGCAGCAGCAATGGCTGCTACTGGTCCAATCTGACAGTGAACATCAGTAGTGTTTCTGGTGCAGCGGGTCATTACACTGTCAAAGTTTCCACTGGTGCTGGATCGGCTACAAAGAGATTTCGACTAGAAATCAGCGGTACGTAGAGCAGTAGTAATCTTGGATAGTCACACACAGCTTTGCTAGTTTGCATTGGCATGCATGCATTGGCATTGGCATGCAGGATCCATGGCCATATTGGAAAGAAATGGCACGGGAGGCATCACTAGAGTCGGCAGTGGCATTATTGCTGCTCCATTTACATGCTGTAGAGAAGTATCATTAATTTTCATGATCGTCAGAAGCTGTTCTTGCTAACATAGTAAGCAGGGATTTTGGAGCCTGACAATGTGCATGTATCTGTTTTGGATACTGTGTGTTACATGTTGGTCGACGTATGCTGGGGAACATGTGTTGTGTCTTGTACGCGTGTGTGTGTGTGTGTGTGTGTGTGTGTGTGTGTGTGTGTGTGTGTGTGTGTGTGTGTGTGTGTGTCTGTTCGCGTGTTTTGTGCTCGGCATGCGATGTTTTTAGTTGCACTGTGTGCACTGCCATCTATCCACCATGGTCACTCACAAGCGTCAGGTTTGATTGGGTCCAGTACTAGCAGTGGACCTACTTCATCAGACTATGAAGTAGTGTGTGGAGAAGGCTTGTCCGTGTCCAGTTCACCGCACAGCAAGTGTGAAAGATCATCCGATGGAAACTCTGTTTACAAGAATGTACCAGAGTGCCTTGGTGAGTATATCTACATGATAACTTGAATTGATAATCACTATCTAGAGGACAAGCTGTATCGGCATGTGGGTACTTTGTTGAAACAGTACCAACCGATGGAAACAATGAAACAGTAATGTCTCTCAGTGCTGTTATTAGTTGTTCCCTCTCTTTGGTTTTCTAAAAGAGTTCATTCATGTTGCATCGTCCATTTCAACAAAGAAGATTCGTTATGAGTGTTGCACAAAGACTTGCTCTATTCCTTCTTTATTTTATTTTGGCTCTTGTATCCTTTCTCCTCTTTCTTATGGCACGTTGTTTCCATGGATTAGCACTGTTTCAATAAGATAACCACAATATCGACACAGCTTGTCTTCTAGATTGTCATTCTAAGATTGCTGTATATCAATGTTGGTATTATCATTAGCCTCTAAGTACTCACAGACTCCACTGCGTGCATTTACACTAAAGGGTTCCTGAATTCAAACACTCACAATACTGGGTTTTTTTATGAACACAAAACTTGAAAATTAATGTTCACCAAATTTGGTGAACACAGACGCGTGCAGCAAAGAGAGTAGAGGGACCCAAATGGTATCAGATTGAGGGGTCGTCTGTGATTTTTGAAAATTAAAAAAAATGATCCTCTTGCAAACAGGTAGACTGCATTATCAAGTTATATGACTGGTCTTGTCATAATCCTGGAACAGCTGAAATTTTTTGTTGACGTGCGACATAGCTTGTGGACATTTTTCCCTGGGCTCCCTTTCCCCTCATTGGTCGTACCATAACCTTGAACCTTCCAAACTGTAAGGCTGTTGATTTGCCAACGGGAGGTGTGTTGATATAAGTGTCAGGTCGTTGAATGTCACAGCACCCTGTCAATTTCGTGTGTCTTTTTATATTTTTACACTTACACTCCTACCTCGGTTAATCGGACCCCGAAGTGACGGGAACTTCCGTCTGCCGGGGATTCTTTGGGCGAGTTTCAGTGAAAATATTCCTACTCTGTTGTCAGTTTTTGTGGAATTAGCGACGTCATAATTATGCCAAATCTATGGCCTTTCCCTATTAAAATGTATGTAATTCGGCGGTAGGGGCATTTCAAAGTTATGGGCAATGCCCGGTCCCGTACAGCGCGGATAAACGAGGTTTGGGTGCATAACTAGCTCATTATCTGAGTTCAAAACTGTGAACTGTACAATTTGGCTGTTCTGTAATTAAACAATCTCTCCTCCTCTTCTCGATGCGCTCTCAGTCGACACTTTTCAACACTCGGTAGCCACTACACACAGCAACATTGCCAAACAACGAAGAGGTTAATGTACTTAATACTGATTCTTCTCTTGACATCTTGTTTCCACTCTCAAGATTGTTTCAAAAAAGAAAGAAAGAAGAAAAGCAAAGCTTCCCCTCTGTTTGTAGGAGGCAGCTCTTTTTCTTGAGAGAGAGAGAGAGAGAGAGAGAGAGAGAGATAGAGGCAGAGGCAGAGGCAGAGGGAGATGGAGAGGGAGAGAGAAAGAGAGATTATCAGCTCTCTCTCTCTGTCTTTCTCTCTCTCTCTCTCTCCCTCTCCCTCTCCCTCTCCCTCTCTCAGGGTCATCGACGAGAATGCTGAGCTAGGCCTCTAGGAATAGTTACCTATTCTTGTTTTGTGTTGTTATCAGCTGGCCCTGTTCTTTCATCACCTATTGGAATCAATGGCCTGGTTGTGAGTGAGGATGATGACACAAAGTCAGCAGTTCTGTCCGTGTGTATCAACTCCACAATCAAACCAGCACCTCAGAAAGCCAATATTGTATGGAGTCGAGAACAGGGAAGTCCGATTGATATACCACATCAAGAGCAGACATCATTGAGTGCGGTTAATGGTTGTTTCTTGTCCAGTCTTACTTTCTGGTTCCATCTAATTGATGAGGCTACTGGAAATTACACCATTACCGTTACTACAACTGCCGGTTCTTCAAAACTGACAATTCCTCTTCGTTTCACCAGTAAGTATTAAGCGAAATCCTGCACACATCTTTGTATTTTAATGGATATCATACTGTATTAACCTATCCTAACAAGTGTTCCCACTTCATTGCTGATGATGGTTATTTTATGACCGAAACGTTAATTTTTTTCCTGAAACGAATTTGTGAAAAGCAGTGATTGAGTGTGAGTCAGTGTTGCTGACAATCGAATCTTTACTTATGAAGCTGCGTGATGCGTCCTACAATCTTGTAGGACGCATCACGCAGATTGTAGTGCTTGTAGGGCAAGTATCCCGTAACAACTCAGATGGTGAGCGAAGGAAAAAATGGTAACATGGAAATTGTGGGCACTTATGCGATCGAGTCCACCAACTAAACACAACTGACTGTTCAAAATCTAGTTTAGTTGGTGGACTCGATCGCATAACTTGTGCCCACAATTTCCATGTTACAAAGTGTATCCTAAAAATCAAATTTCACCAGTTGTAGTCTTCGGGGTGCTGAGTCGAATGGTATTGGTCCGAGGAAGCTGAGACGCTCTCTTCCTCCTTTATTCCGAAAAGTCTGCGGTGCAGCGTTCTGACCTCGTTCCCAATCGAACATGGTTGAGTAAGCAGTTATGTGCTGTTGCGTACACCAGTTGCCTGGTCACCGTGCCTGCAGGCTACAACTTTCAGACGAAGGTTCAAGTCAAAGGTTCAAAGCTTCAACTCGAGTGACAGGAACGCTGTAAAAGTTGTAGCCTGCAGGCACGGTGACCAGTAAACTGGTGTACGCACCAGCACATAACTGCTTACTCAACCGTTTTCGATTGGGAACAAGGTCAGAACCCTGCATTGCAGACTTTTCGGACCAAAACCAGTCGACTTAGCGTCCAAAAAGACTACAACATATGAACCAATCGCGGTCATCCGTGGTTTTATAGGAACGGAATGGCGCTTTTAGTGACGCTTTGCATACAAATCCCCATCTAGTTGGGCACAGTCACCCAGTTTCGGTGGAAGTGCGCTAGTTCGACTGGGAATAAATTAGGAAGGGAGCGTCTCAGCTTCCTAGGACCAAAGCCATTCGACTCAGTACCCCAAAGACTACAACTGGTGAAATTTTGATTTTAGAGTATACTTCCCCTTTAAATAATCATACTTTCTATTTACTCAATCTGCGGACAGAACTGTTTCGTCCTTTGTGGACTCATCAGCGCAGCACAGAGGAAATGAGGCCGAGCCTGGTAGCAGTGAAAATTTATTTTCCAAAGCCAGATTTAAACCAGGCCCAAATGTACCTTGCCAGAGTGCTCAAACTGACAAGTCAGTGAGCTCTGCATAACGCAAACAGCAAAGGCGCTACCCCATGCACGAGTGCTCAACTGCTACAAGAGCAGGAGCGAAATATTCAATCTGCGCTATATATTTAATTAACAATGCGATAAATAGAACAAACGTGTATGAATCACACTTTATACATTTTTGCATTTCACGATTGTTACGTGGTATTATGTTGGCACCGTTTGTTCTTTTTCTCGCATGGCTAAACGCCTCTTTGTATACTGTATATACTGTCCTTTTTTCAGGGGAATTGTGAGTATTGTTTTACATGTTGAGTGTCTGGGGCAGGTGCATGCATTCATACGCATTTCTGTGTGCGTGTTCGTGTGCGTGTGTGTGTATATATTTGTGTGTGTGTGTGTGTGTGTGTTTGTGTGGACCATTTGATGTGTTTAGTTCCACTTTGTGAAGTACCAACAATCCACCATGGTCACGCATATGCAACAGGTGTTTTTGGAGACGTGACTGAAAAGACGTCTTCAGACTATGGGGTAGAATGTCCTACTGGTTTTAAGCTGTCCACTTTGTCCCATAGTAAATGTGAAAGATCACCTGATGGAAAAGCTATTTACAAGAATATACCAGAGTGTCAGGGTGAGCATATCTACATAATCGTTAATTGTTCACTTTGCGTCTGTGCACATGCATGTATCTGTGTGTGTGTGTGTGTGTGTGTGTGTGTGTGTGTGTGTTTGTGTATGTGTGTGTGTGTGTGTGTGTGTGTGTGTGTATGTGTGTGTTTGTATGTGTATGTGTGTTGACATTGTGTGTTTGTGTAACGATAAGTGTTCCTATTCCAATGGTCAAGTTCAGCCAGTTGGGCTAGAGATGGCCAAGTCCAGTCACGTTGTAGGCATGTGTTTCATTAGGTGGGTGCCAAAGTAGACGTGTTGTGTGAGGCCACAAGTCTCGTAACAGCCAATGCAGGTCCTCACCTAAGCCACGTATCGCTGGAGTGCCGCAAGCAATTCTTGGCGTTGAACTTGACCAGGAGAAGTATCTCATCCTGGGGTTTTTCAACTACCTCATCCTGGGGTTTTTCAACTACCTCATCCTGGGGTTTTTCAACTACCTCTTTGGCCCTCTCCAGTTCCACCAGGAACTCTGCTGGGTCGGACCGTGAAGGGACGGTAGATGTTCCTTAGCTTTTTGTGAACTTACCTGAACTCATGCATGTCACATGATCGATGTCATAGCCAGCAATCGCATGTCATCACGTACATTGAAAATCAACATAATTTTGCGAATCGACCTTTTTTTCAGGATCACTTTTCAACGAGGACGAAGCAAAGTCGGCCGAACGAAGCCTAGAGGAAGAAAATCACCCTCTCCACTTCACCATCACGATGCTGACATAGATACGAGATGAAACAACTAAAAAATCCACAAGAAAACTGTACGACCATCATCTCTCAGACTCTCAGGCTTTGGTCAGACTTTGGTCTGAGAATTTCTATCACGATCAAAAATGTACGCGGAGCACTCAAAAATCAGCCACAGACGTACCTTTATCGCTCTCTACTCCTTTTCAAGGCACAAAAGTCGACTCTCCACTTTCAAACCAGGAACCAGACATACCAGTGGTCCTTTTCAGCTGCTCCACGAGCGCAGGAAATGTTCACCAAGGGGCGCAGAGCAGCATCCATTCCAGAAAAAGAGCTAAAATACGAGTGAGACTGCATGCCTGAGCACATGAGTACATGAATGAGTACATGCAGAAAATACTCAATTTCAGCGTTTCTGCTCCAAACAGCAACAAGCTTCGACTAGAAACAAAGATTACACCAAAGGATCAAACAACAACCATTTTCTGCAGTTTTTTTGCAGATGGCTTCCTTGTGCTTGGCCCAGCACGCCAAAAATCACACCTCGGAGGAGTACAAAAATGACAACTCTCAGATGTCCTCGATTGCTGGCCATGTGAAGAGATCATTGTATTGTTTTGGTCCTATATTTCCAATTGGTTGATTCCCGAGCTGCAGAGAGTGCTCAATGTCAGAGACAGAGCTTAGTACATAGCAGACTCAGCGGAAGACTTTCATGCCACTTGTTCTCAGTTGTCTGATGATTTCCTAGCGGCATGAAACTCAGAGTTACAGCTAACCTGAACGTCCTCCACTGAGTCTGCTATGTCCTATGTTTACTATGTTTCTATCTTACTATTGGTTGTTGGTGTCATTGCTTCGTTTTTGTTGTTGTTATCCAGCTGGTCCCATTCTGACATCTCCTATTGGAAGCAGTGGACTGGTTGTGAGTGAGGATGATGGAACAAAGTCAGCAGTTCTGTCCGTGTGCATCAACTCTACTATCAAGCCAGCACCGTCATCAGCCAACTCTGTAGTTTGGAGTACAGAGGCCAGTGGAGGGATGTCTGTGTTCAGCCGTGTGCAGACCTCACTGAGTAGCAGTAGCAATAGCTGCTACTGGTCCAATCTGACAGTGAACATCAGTAGTGTTTCTGGTGCAGCGGGTCATTACACTGTCAAAGTTTCCACTGATGCTGGATCGGCTACAAAGAGATTTCGACTAGAAATCAACGGTACGTATAGCAGTAGTAATCTTGGATAGTCACACACAGCTTTGCTAGTTTGTGTGCTTTCAAACTCTTCAAGAGAGGGATTTATGTTTTTCACTGGCTCTTATAGACTGGGGCACTGTTCGAGATAGGGCACTATTCAAGAGAGGACTCTAATCTAGCGAGCACGTTAACCATGTTCTAAAAGTTCTTGCTTGGTCGCAATGGAGGCTGTGTGGACTTGCATTGGCATGCATGCATTGGCATTGGCATGCAGGATCCATGGCCATATTGGAGAGAAATGGCACGGGAGGCATCACTAGAGTCGGCAGTGGCATCATTGCTGCTCCATTTACATGCTGTAAAGAAGTATCATTAATTTTCATGATCATCAGAAGCTGTTCTTGCTAACATAGTAAGCAGGGATTTTGGAGCCTGACAATGTGCATGTATCTGTTTTGGATACTGTGTGTTACATGTTGGTCGACGTATGCTGGGGAACATGTGTTGTGTCTTGTACGCGTGTGTGTGTGTGTGTGTGTGTGTGTGTGTGTGTGTGTGTGTGTGTGTGTGTCTGTTCGCGTGTTTTGTGCTCGGCATGCAATGTTTTTAGTTGCACTGTGTGCACTGCCACCTATCCACCATGGTCACTCACAAGTGTCAGGTTTGATTGGGCCCAGTACTAGCAGTGGACCTACTTCATCAGACTATGAAGTAGTGTGTGGAGAAGGCTTGTCCGTGTCCAGTTCACCGCACAGCAAGTGTGAAAGATCATCCGATGGAAACGCTGTTTTCAAGAATGTACCAGAGTGCCTTGGTGAGTATATCTACATGATTAACTTGAATTGATGATAATCACTATCTAGAGGACAAGCTGTATCGGCATGTGGGTACTTTATTGAAACAGTACCAATCGATGGAAACAATGAAACAGTAATGTCTCTCAGTGCTGTTATTAGTTGTTCCCTCTCTTTGGTTTTCTAAAAGAGTTCATTCATGTTGCATCGTCCATTTCAACAACGAAGATTCGTTATGAGTGTTGCACGAAGACTTGCCCGATTCCTTCTTTATTTTATTTTGGCTCTTGTATCCTTTCTCCTCTTTCTTATTGCACGTTGTTTCCATGGATTAGCACTGTTTCAATAAGATAACCACAATGTCGACACAGCTTGTCTTCTAGATTGTCATTCTAAGATTGCTGTATATCAATGTTGGTATTATCATTAGCCTCTAAGTACTCACAGACTCCACTGCGTGCATTTACACTAAAGGGTTCCTGAATTCAAACACTCACAATACTGGGTGTTTTTTTATGAACACAAAACTGGAAAATTAATGTTCACCAAATTTGGTGAACACAGACGCGTGCAGCAAAGAGAGTAGAGGGACCCAAATGGTATCAGATTGAGGGGTCGTCTGTGATTTTTGAAAATTAAAAAAAATGATCCTCTTGCAAACAGGTAGACTGCATTATCAAGTTATATGACTGGTCTTGTCATAATCCTGGAACAGCTGAAATTTTTTGTTGACGTGCGACATAGCTTGTGGACATTTTTCCCTGGGCTCCCTTTCCCCTCATTGGTCGTACCATAACCTTGAACCTTCCAAACTGTAAGGCTGTTGATTTGCCAACGGGAGGTGTGTTGATATAAGTGTCAGGTCGTTGAATGTCACAGCACCCTGTCAATTTCGTGTGTCTATTTATATTTTTACACTTACACTCCTACCTCGGTTAATCGGACCCCGAAGTGACGGGAACTTTCGTCTGCCGGGGATTCTTTGGGCGAGTTTCAGTGAAAATATTCCTACTCTGTTGTCAGTTTTTGTGGAATTAGCGACGTCATAATTATGCCAAATCTATGGCCTTTCCCTATTAAAATGTATGTAATTCGGCGGTAGGGGCATTTCAAAGTTATGGGCAATGCCCGGTCCCGTACAGCGCGGATAAACGAGGTTTGGGTGCATAACTAGCTCATTATCTGAGTTCAAAACTGTGAACTGTACAATTTGGCTGTTCTGTAATTAAACAATCTCTCCTCCTCTTCTCGATGCGCTCTCAGTCGACACTTTTCAACACTCGGTAGCCACTACACACAGCAACATTGCCAAACAACGAAGAGGTTAATGTACTTAATACTGATTCTTCTCTTGACATCTTGTTTCCACTCTCAAGATTGTTTCAAAAAAGAAAGAAAGAAGAAAAGCAAAGCTTCCCCTCTGTTTGTAGGAGGCAGCTCTTTTTCTTGAGAGAGAGAGAGAGAGAGAGAGAGAGATAGAGGCAGAGGCAGAGGCAGAGGGAGATGGAGAGGGAGAGAGAAAGAGAGATTATCAGCTCTCTCTCTCTGTCTTTCTCTCTCTCTCTCTCTCCCTCTCCCTCTCCCTCTCCCTCTCTCAGGGTCATCGACGAGAATGCTGAGCTAGGCCTCTAGGAATAGTTACCTATTCTTGTTTTGTGTTGTTATCAGCTGGCCCTGTTCTTTCATCACCTATTGGAATCAATGGCCTGGTTGTGAGTGAGGATGATGACACAAAGTCAGCAGTTCTGTCCGTGTGTATCAACTCCACAATCAAACCAGCACCTCAGAAAGCCAATATTGTATGGAGTCGAGAACAGGGAAGTCCGATTGATATACCACATCAAGAGCAGACATCATTGAGTGCGGTTAATGGTTGTTTCTTGTCCAGTCTTACTTTCTGGTTCCATCTAATTGATGAGGCTACTGGAAATTACACCATTACCGTTACTACAACTGCCGGTTCTTCAAAACTGACAATTCCTCTTCGTTTCACCAGTAAGTATTAAGCGAAATCCTGCACACATCTTTGTATTTTAATGGATATCATACTGTATTAACCTATCCTAACAAGTGTTCCCACTTCATTGCTGATGATGGTTATTTTATGACCGAAACGTTAATTTTTTTCCTGAAACGAATTTGTGAAAAGCAGTGATTGAGTGTGAGTCAGTGTTGCTGACAATCGAATCTTTACTTATGAAGCTGCGTGATGCGTCCTACAATCTTGTAGGACGCATCACGCAGATTGTAGTGCTTGTAGGGCAAGTATCCCGTAACAACTCAGATGGTGAGCGAAGGAAAAAATGGTAACATGGAAATTGTGGGCACTTATGCGATCGAGTCCACCAACTAAACACAACTGACTGTTCAAAATCTAGTTTAGTTGGTGGACTCGATCGCATAACTTGTGCCCACAATTTCCATGTTACAAAGTGTATCCTAAAAATCAAATTTCACCAGTTGTAGTCTTCGGGGTGCTGAGTCGAATGGTATTGGTCCGAGGAAGCTGAGACGCTCTCTTCCTCCTTTATTCCGAAAAGTCTGCGGTGCAGCGTTCTGACCTCGTTCCCAATCGAACATGGTTGAGTAAGCAGTTATGTGCTGTTGCGTACACCAGTTGCCTGGTCACCGTGCCTGCAGGCTACAACTTTCAGACGAAGGTTCAAGTCAAAGGTTCAAAGCTTCAACTCGAGTGACAGGAACGCTGTAAAAGTTGTAGCCTGCAGGCACGGTGACCAGTAAACTGGTGTACGCACCAGCACATAACTGCTTACTCAACCGTTTTCGATTGGGAACAAGGTCAGAACCCTGCATTGCAGACTTTTCGGACCAAAACCAGTCGACTTAGCGTCCAAAAAGACTACAACATATGAACCAATCGCGGTCATCCGTGCTTTTATAGGAGCGGAATGGCGCTTTTAGTGACGCTTTGCATACAAATCCCCATCTAGTTGGGCACAGTCACCCAGTTTCGGTGGAAGTGCGCTAGTTCGACTGGGAATAAATTAGGAAGGGAGCGTCTCAGCTTCCTAGGACCAAAGCCATTCGACTCAGTACCCCAAAGACTACAACTGGTGAAATTTTGATTTTAGAGTATACTTCCCCTTTAAATAATCATACTTTCTATTTACTCAATCTGCGGACAGAACTGTTTCGTCCTTTGTGGACTCATCAGCGCAGCACAGAGGAAATGAGGCCGAACCTGGTAGCAGTGAAAATTTATTTTCCAAAGCCAGATTTAAACCAGGCCCAAATGTACCTTGCCAGAGTGCTCAAACTGACAAGTCAGTGAGCTCTGCATAACGCAAACAGCAAAGGCGCTACCCCATGCACGAGTGCTCAACTGCTACAAGAGCAGGAGCGAAATATTCAATCTGCGCTATATATTTAATTAACAATGCGATAAATAGAACAAACGTGTATGAATCACACTTTATACATTTTTGCATTTCACGATTGTTACGTGGTATTATGTTGGCACCGTTTGTTCTTTTTCTCGCATGGCTAAACGCCTCTTTGTATACTGTATATATTGTCCTTTTTTCAGGGGAATTGTGAGTATTGTTTTACATGTTGAGTGTCTGGGGCAGGTGCATGCATTCATACGCATTTCTGTGTGCGTGTTCGTGTGCGTGTGTGTGTATATATTTGTGTGTGTGTGTGTGTGTGTGTGTGTTTGTGTGGACCATTTGATGTGTTTAGTTCCACTTTGTGAAGTACCAACAATCCACCATGGTCACGCATATGCAACAGGTGTTTTTGGAGACGTGACTGAAAAGACGTCTTCAGACTATGGGGTAGAATGTCCTACTGGTTTTAAGCTGTCCACTTTGTCCCATAGTAAATGTGAAAGATCACCTGATGGAAAAGCTATTTACAAGAATATACCAGAGTGTCAGGGTGAGCATATCTACATAATCGTTAATTGTTCACTTTGCGTCTGTGCACATGCATGTATCTGTGTGTGTGTGTGTGTGTGTGTGTGTGTGTGTGTTTGTGTATGTGTGTGTGTGTGTGTGTGTGTGTGTATGTGTGTGTTTGTATGTGTATGTGTGTTGACATTGTGTGTTTGTGTAACGATAAGTGTTCCTATTCCAATGGTCAAGTTCAGCCAGTTGGGCTAGAGATGGCCAAGTCCAGTCACGTTGTAGGCATGTGTTTCATTAGGTGGGTGCCAAAGTAGACGTGTTGTGTGAGGCCACAAGTCTCGTAACAGCCAATGCAGGTCCTCACCTAAGCCACGTATCGCTGGAGTGCCGCAAGCAATTCTTGGCGTTGAACTTGACCAGGAGAAGTATCTCATCCTGGGGTTTTTCAACTACCTCATCCTGGGGTTTTTCAACTACCTCATCCTGGGGTTTTTCAACTACCTCTTTGGCCCTCTCCAGTTCCACCAGGAACTCTGCTGGGTCGGACCGTGAAGGGACGGTAGATGTTCCTTAGCTTTTTGTGAACTTACCTGAACTCATGCATGTCACATGATCGATGTCATAGCCAGCAATCGCATGTCATCACGTACATTGAAAATCAACATAATTTTGCGAATCGACCTTTTTTTCAGGATCACTTTTCAACGAGGACGAAGCAAAGTCGGCCGAACGAAGCCTAGAGGAAGAAAATCACCCTCTCCACTTCACCATCACGATGCTGACATAGATACGAGATGAAACAACTAAAAAATCCACAAGAAAACTGTACGACCATCATCTCTCAGACTCTCAGACTTTGGTCAGACTTTGGTCTGAGAATTTCTATCACGATCAAAAATGTACGCGGAGCACTCAAAAATCAGCCACAGACGTACCTTTATCGCTCTCTACTCCTTTTTCAAGGCACAAAAGTCGACTCTCCACTTTCAAACCAGGAACCAGACATACCAGTGGTCCTTTTCAGCTGCTCCACGAGCGCAGGAAATGTTCACCAAGGGGCGCAGAGCAGCATCCATTCCAGAAAAAGAGCTAAAATACGAGTGAGACTGCATGCCTGAGCACATGAGTACATGAATGAGTACATGCAGAAAATACTCAATTTCAGCGTTTCTGCTCCAAACAGCAACAAGCTTCGACTAGAAACAAAGATTACACCAAAGGATCAAACAACAACCATTTTCTGCAGTTTTTTTGCAGATGGCTTCCTTGTGCTTGGCCCAGCACGCCAAAAATCACACCTCGGAGGAGTACAAAAATGACAACTCTCAGATGTCCTCGATTGCTGGCCATGTGAAGAGATCATTGTATTGTTTTGGTCCTATATTTCCAATTGGTTGATTCCCGAGCTGCAGAGAGTGCTCAATGTCAGAGACAGAGCTTAGTACATAGCAGACTCAGCGGAAGACTTTCATGCCACTTGTTCTCAGTTGTCTGATGATTTCCTAGCGGCATGAAACTCAGAGTTACAGCTAACCTGAACGTCCTCCACTGAGTCTGCTATGTCCTATGTTTACTATGTTTCTATCTTACTATTGGTTGTTGGTGTCATTGCTTCGTTTTTGTTGTTGTTATCCAGCTGGTCCCATTCTGACATCTCCTATTGGAAGCAGTGGACTGGTTGTGAGTGAGGATGATGGAACAAAGTCAGCAGTTCTGTCCGTGTGCATCAACTCTACTATCAAGCCAGCACCGTCATCAGCCAACTCTGTAGTTTGGAGTACAGAGGCCAGTGGAGGGATGTCTGTGTTCAGCCGTGTGCAGACCTCACTGAGTAGCAGTAGCAATGGCTGCTACTGGTCCAATCTGACAGTGAACATCAGTAGTGTTTCTGGTGCAGCGGGTCATTACACTGTCAAAGTTTCCACTGATGCTGGATCGGCTACAAAGAGATTTCGACTAGAAATCAACGGTACGTATAGCAGTAGTAATCTTGGATAGTCACACACAGCTTTGCTAGTTTGTGTGCTTTCAAACTCTTCAAGAGAGGGATTTATGTTTTTCACTGGCTCTTATAGACTGGGGCACTGTTGGAGATAGGGCACTATTCAAGAGAGGACTCTAATCTAGCGAGCACGTTAACCATGTTCTAAAAGTTCTTGCTTGGTCGCAATGGAGGCTGTGTGGACTTGCATTGGCATGCATGCATTGGCATTGGCATGCAGGATCCATGGCCATATTGGAGAGAAATGGCACGGGAGGCATCACTAGAGTCGGCAGTGGCATCATTGCTGCTCCATTTACATGCTGTAAAGAAGTATCATTAATTTTCATGATCATCAGAAGCTGTTCTTGCTAACATAGTAAGCAGGGATTTTGGAGCCTGACAATGTGCATGTATCTGTTTTGGATACTGTGTGTTACATGTTGGTCGACGTATGCTGGGGAACATGTGTTGTGTCTTGTACGCGTGTGTGTGTGTCTGTGTGTGTGTGTGTGTGTGTGTGTGTGTCTGTGTGTGTGTGTGTGTGTGTCTGTTCGCGTGTTTTGTGCTCGGCATGCAATGTTTTTAGTTGCACTGTGTGCACTGCCACCTATCCACCATGGTCACTCACAAGCGTCAGGTTTGATTGGGCCCAGTACTAGCAGTGGACCTACTTCATCAGACTATGAAGTAGTGTGTGGAGAAGGCTTGTCCGTGTCCAGTTCACCGCACAGCAAGTGTGAAAGATCATCCGATGGAAACGCTGTTTTCAAGAATGTACCAGAGTGCCTTGGTGAGTATATCTACATGATTAACTTGAATTGATGATAATCACTATCTAGAGGACAAGCTGTATCGGCATGTGGGTACTTTATTGAAACAGTACCAATCGATGGAAACAATGAAACAGTAATGTCTCTCAGTGCTGTTATTAGTTGTTCCCTCTCTTTGGTTTTCTAAAAGAGTTCATTCATGTTGCATCGTCCATTTCAACAACGAAGATTCGTTATGAGTGTTGCACGAAGACTTGCCCGATTCCTTCTTTATTTTATTTTGGCTCTTGTATCCTTTCTCCTCTTTCTTATTGCACGCTGTTTCCATGGATTAGCACTGTTTCAATAAGATAACCACAATATCGACACAGCTTGTCTTCTAGATTGTCATTCTAAGATTGCTGTATATCAATGTTGGTATTATCATTAGCCTCTAAGTACTCACAGACTCCACTGCGTGCATTTACACTAAAGGGTTCCTGAATTCAAACACTCACAATACTGGGTGTTTTTTTATGAACACAAAACTGGAAAATTAATGTTCACCAAATTTGGTGAACACAGACGCGTGCAGCAAAGAGAGTAGAGGGACCCAAATGTTATCAGATTGAGGGGTCGTCTGTGTTTTTTGAAAATTAAAAAAAATGATCCTCTTGCAAACAGGTAGACTGTGTTATCAAGTTTTTTGACCAGTCTTGTCATAATCCTGGAACAGCTGAAATTCTTTGTTGACGTGCGACATAGCTTGTGGACATTTTTCCCTGGGCTCCCTTTCCCCTCATTGGTCGTACCATAACCTTGAACCTTCCAAACTGTAAGGCTGTTGATTTGCCCACAGGAGGTGTGTTGATATAGGTGTCAGGTCGTTGAATGTCACAGCACCCTGTCAATTTCGTGTGTCTTTTTATATTTTTACACTTACACTCCTACCTCGGTTAATCGGACCCCGAAGTGACGGGAACTTCCGTCTGCCGGGAATTCTTTGGGCGAGTTTCAGTGAAAATATTCCTACTCTGTTGTCAGTTTTTGTGGAATTAGTGACGTCATAATTATGCCAAATCTATGGCCTTTCCCTATTAAAATGTATGTAATTCGGCGGTAGGGGCATTTCAAAGTTATGGGCAATGCCCGGTCCCGTACAGCACGGATAAACGAGGTTTGAGCACATGACTAGCTCTTATCTGAGTTCAAAAGTGTGAACTGTACAATTCGGCTGTTCTGTAATTAAACAATCTCTCCTCCTCTTCTCGATGCGCTTTCAGTCTACACTTTTCAACACTCGGTAGCCACTACACACAGCAACATTACCAAACAACGAAGAGGTTAAAGTACTTAATACGGATTCTTCTCTTGACATCTTGTTTCCCCTCTCAAGATTGTTTCAAAAAGAAAGAAAGAAGAAAAGCAAAGCTTCCCTCTGTTTGTAGGAGGCAGCTCTTTTTCGAGAGAGAGAGAGAGAGAGAGAGAGAGAGAGATATAGTGGCAGAGGCAGAGGCAGAGGGAGAGAAAGAGGGAGAGAGAAAGAGAGATCAGCTCTCTCTCTTTCTCTCTCTGTCTGTCTGTCTGTCTGTCTCTCTCTCTCTCTCTCTCTCTCTCTCTCTCTCTCTCTCTCTCTCTCTCTCTCTCTCTCTCTCTCTCTCTCTCTCTCTCTCTCTCTCTCTCTCTCTCTCTCTCTCTCTCTCTCTCTCTCTCTCTCTCTCTCCCTCTCCCTCTCCCTCTCTCAGGGTCATGGACGAGAATGCTGCGCTAGGCCTCTAGGAATAGTTACCTATTCTTGTTTTGTTTTGTTATCAGCTGGCCCTGTTCTTTCATCACCTATTGGAATCAATGGACTGATTGTGAGTGAGGATGATGACACAAAGTCAGCAGTTCTGTCCGTGTGTATCAACTCCACCATCAAACCAGCACCTCAGAAAGCCAATATTGTATGGAGTCGAGAACAGGGAAGTCCGATTGATATACCACATCAAGAACAGACATCATTGAATGAGGTTAATGGTTGTTTCTTGTCCAGTCTTACTTTCTGGTTCCATCTTATTGATGAGGCTACTGGAAATTACACCATTACCGTTACTACAACTGCCGGTTCTTCAAAACTGACAATTCCTCTTCGTTTCACCAGTAAGTATTAAGCGAAATCCTGCACAGATCTTTGTATTTTAATGGATATCATACTGTATTAACCCATCCTAACAAGTGTTCCCACTTCATTGCTGATGATGGTTATTTTATGACCGAAACGTTAATTTTTTTCCTGAAATGAATTTGTGAAAAGCAGTGATTGAGTGTGAGTCAGTGTTGCTGACAATCGAATCTTTACTTATGAAGCTGCTTGATGCGTCCTACAATCTTGTAGGACGCATCACGCAGATTGTAGTGCTTGTAGGGCAAGTATCCCGTAACAACTCAGATGGTGAGCGAAGGAAAAAATGGTAACATGGAAATTGTGGGCACTTATGCGATCGAGTCCACCAACTAAACACAACTGACTGTTCAAAATCTAGTTTAGTTGGTGGACTCGATCGCATAACTTGTGCCCACAATTTCCATGTTACAAAGTATACCCTAAAAATCAAATTTCACCAGTTGTAGTCTTCGGGGTGCTGAGGCGAATGGTCTCGGCCCGAGGAAGCTGAGACGCTCCCTTCCTCCTTTATTCCCAATGGAACTCGCGCACTTCCACCGAAACTGGGTGACTGTGTCCTACTAGATGGGGATTTGTTTGATTTGTCTTTTTGGACGCTAAGTCGGCTGGTTTTGATCCGAAAAGTCTGCGATGCAGCGTTCTGACCTCGTTCCCAATCGAAAACGGTTGAGTAAGCAGTTATGTGCTGTTGCGTACACCAGTCGCCTGGTCACCGTGCCTGCAGGCTACAACTTTCACACCAAGGTTCAAGTCAAAGGTTCAAAGGTTCAACGACAGGAATGCTGTACAAGTTGTAGCCTGCAGGCACGGTGACCCGTCGACTGGTGTACGCACCTGCACATAGCTGCTTACTCAACCGTGTTGGATTGGGAACAAGGTCAGAACGCTGCATTGCAGACTTTTCGGACCAAAACCAGTCGACTTAGCGTCCAAAAAGACTACCACATATGAACCTATCGCGGTCATCCGTGCTTTTATAGGAACAGAATGGCGCTTTTAGTGACACTTTGCATACAAATCTTCATCTAGTTGGGCACAGTCACCCAGTTTCGGTGGAAGTGCGCGAGTTCGATTGGGAATAAAGGAGGAAAGAAGCGTCTCAGCTCCCTAGGACCAAGGCCATTCGACTCAGCACCCCAAATACTACAACTGGTGAAATTTTGATTTTAGGGTATACTTCCCCTTTAAGGGGGCACATCACCCAAAAATTTCATATGGCATTCAATTGACCGTAACTTTGGTGTTTCTCAGTGGATTTGAGTGAAATTTTGACCACACACTCCTGCCACTATGCTGGCCCTCAGGACATGATTTACAAGTTCTTGCGTCTCACTGACAGGCTTTCCAGGCCGGAAAAACTCAAATTTCCGGCATAGTGCTACGGTGTGCGAGCCACCCAGGAGCCAAACAAATCCATTTACATTTTTTTCACATTTTCGTGCCCATTCTGTCCGTGCGCGGGACCCAAACCTAAAACAAGTCCAGAAGCAGCCATGGGTGGTGGGGTAGGGCACCTCAACGTGGCCCTGGAATCTGTCACAACGGAACGAGTGGGCGTTCTTTCACGGACTCCCACAGACCCAAGGCAATTTTTGAATTTTTTTAGGTTTGGCACGTGCTACGAGGTCGTACCTTTGATACAACATCCAGTGCTGGGACCTCCACAGCAAGCCATTTCCACAGCGCTGCAAACCAAATCCAGGATGCCCTCAGAAACCGGCAAAGACTGCCACTCACGTTTCACTACTGCCTAGTACTGAATCCTACCTGACTTCTTGACACGACTCAAACTTGCCAAAGTCACTAAATCAACGTCAACTACAATAATCAAGCCACATATCTGCAACGTCACGAGGGTGCTGGCAAAAGTCCTGCTGCACGGCGGCGGGCTTCGCCCGCCGCCGTGCAGCCCAATACGTGGTTTTTTAACGTGATTTTTTGGACTTTTTTGGACTTGGGGCAAAATTCTGCACACTTTCGCGTGTTTCCATAATACGACAAGTTGCGCACGGTCTGCTCACATTCAAATACAGTGCTGCCAACAAATGACAGCATGCAACAAAAAAATCTTTCCTTGCAAGGGCACATTTTCGGCCATAACTCTTGAACGGCTGGTCAGATAGGGACACAGTTTTCAGAGAATTTGCAGCTATTCATGCTCTTTCAACTGACGTAGCACTCAATATGAATTTACAAATTCGATTTTTCAGCGAATTTTTGGGTGATGTGCCCCCTTAACCCTTTGTGTACCAGGCATCTAATGTATGCGCGGGGTACTCATCGGTAATGATGGACCTATAGCATAAAACTAAGACACATTTTATATGTGCAAGTTATGTTTTTCTGAATATGTTGGTATCAATGTGTCCAGGTAAGAAAATATTTTGACCGAGCACACAACTACAGATACAGGCCATACCTGGAATACCTATTTCTGAGTCAATTGTCCATATTCCTGACAATTTAGATCCGTGTACTTGGAATCGTGAATATACTTGCTGACATTGCCCTTCTTCACACAGAGCAACAGGAGACCACTGCACTAGTGTATAGCCGCCAGTTGCAACAATAGCGAAATGGACGGAAAAGAGCCATATTGCGTGAATACCAGATGCCAAACAATTGCATCAAAATTTCAAATTATTGAAATTGTGTCAGATTTGAATATGTACTTTTCACTTATCTACTTGCGTCCAGCGAGGGTATTGGCGATTGAGAAGACCAGGAATAGTCGATGGGTGAGGAAATTCACCTGCCTTGATTATTTCAGGCCATCGCTGCGCTCCCTCTCGCTGCTGCTTGGAGAGCGAATACTGCAATGGCTTCAGCGATGGAAATTCTCATTTTCGATTCAGATCCTGAGATTATATCGCTACTACAACTCTCTCCTGGCGTTCACCATCACTAGTAGACATCGACAACAGCTAGAGCAAGCTATGTTCCAGATACAAGCAGCGTAACCGAACTAAAACACGATCGAAATTGCTAAAATATATCGCAGAGCGCTGAAATTGCAAAGCGCACTTTTCGCGGCGATCGTTCTCCATACTTTCAAATGGCAACCTACCCACATCATACATCAAAGTTTGCAGTGGGATCTCAGCTGCCCAGCGCAAAAAACCGCGAGTCGATCGGAGCAAGGACGCCGCCGAACGGCGCGGCGCAGTGCGGTGCGTCGAACCGTAACGTACGTTACGGTTCGAGATGGGGCTGGTACACAAAGGGTTAAATAATCATACTTTCTATTTACTCAATCTGCGGACAGAACTGTTTCGTCCTTTGTGGACTCATCAGCGCAGCACAGAGGAAATGAGGCTGAACATGGTAGCAATGAAAATTAATTTTCCAAAGCCAGATTTAGACCAGGCCCAAACGTACCTTGCCAGAGTGCGCAAACTGACAAGTCAGTGAGCTCTGCATAACGCAAACAGCAAAGGCGCTACCAAATGCAAGAGTGCTCAACTGCTACAAGAGCAGGAGCGAAATATTCAATCTGCGCTATATATGTTGCAGGGCGCGAAATAACGGTCGGACATCGGACAATTTCCGACCGTTTACGGTCAGTTTCCGGATGTTTTGTACATATCCGGACAAAGTGTCCGCGCACCTTTTGCAAAGTACAAAAAAGAAAAGGCACTTCAATCCTTTGTCTCATAGTCATTAGTGATGTCGTCTGGCAAGCGAAAGCCAAACACTGCTGATGCGGGTGCTCCTCTTGGAAAGAAGCCCAGAGGAGTCAAGACGACCACTTGTGACAAGTGGGTCGCCGAGTATGATACTTGATAGGGAGCTTTCAACTTCTGTTTGGCTGAGCTATGAGCGCAGTCCCTCAGATCGTAGCGTTGTCGAAAATTTGAAGTGTAAGATGTGTTCCCGTTTTGTTGATAAAATTCGCAGCAGCAAGGATTTTTCTGACTCCTTCGTCGTTGACTCAAGGAACCTGAAAACGTCAGCCTTCAAAGATCATGCTGCTTCTGAAATGCATCGTCGTGATAACATTTCGATAGTATTAATTCTACACTGAACATTGTGTGATTTGATGTGAAAATTTGCATGTCCGGACATGTCCAGCCATTTTTGCAACTGGCAGGACATTGTGTCAGAGCATATTTTAATCCTTAGCGCATGCCCTGTGTTGGACTCAGTAGAGCGTCCAGCCCTATATGATGTCCAACCCCTATGTAGAGTCCATTGGTCCAACATCCACTGTACACAGTCCAAACTTGGAATCAACTGTGAGCTCAAAGTTTAGATGGACATCACTCCCTGTATAGAGTCCAGCCAATTGGCTTCACCCCTACATAGTGTCCATTGGTCCAAAATCAACTGTACATAGTCCAAGCTTTGAAATCAACTATGAAGAGTCTTTATGTGGACAATACTCCCTGTATAAAGTCCAGCCAATTAGGCATCCCCTATCCAGAGTTCGAAATTATACATAGGATCTGCTGTAAGCCGTGAATATTAACCAGAAAACGGCCTCTCCCTTTAATCCTTTACATCATTCACTTCTCAAGATAAAAAATAAGTATTGAGGCGCCACTCCAGCCACTTCATTACATGAAAAACCCTACAAACACCATCCTCGAATCAAGTGGTCTCTTCGCAGACGCTGCAAATTACAATATCTCAATCATGTAGTGTTGCCAAACTATTGTGCACGCACTGTACTGTACTGTACTTGCTCACTGCCAAAACTGGTCACGTGGGTCTCCCCGGGAGAGGGGAGAGAGACTCAAAAGGAATCTTGGAAAGATGAGTCAATTGGCCATTGAACCACCCAACGGCCGACACCCCCTGAAATCCCCAAACTAGGGTGGACTTGAAATGATCCCACTTATGGGCTCACCACACCTCAGTAAGTGGGTGAGGACAAGGTGCAGAAAATAGGATTGACGGCATCAGGGTATCCGTCCTGGGATCCAACTGCAGGTACCCCTGCCCCCAGTGAAGGTAATACTTGGTACTAGTGTGG